AAGAAACCCCTTCTTCTGTTGAAGAACAAGAGGTTTTAAAAGAAACCTCCTCTTCCAATGAAGATCAAGAGGTTTTGAAAGAAGCTCCCACTTCTGTTGATGAACAAAAAGTTTTAAAAGAAACCCCCTCTTCAGATAGAGATCAAGAAAATTTAAAAGAAACCCCTTCTTCAGACGGAGAACAGATTTTGAAAGATACTCAAACTATTGAAGGAAAACAGGAGGTTCTCTTGACAGAATCAGAAATCAAAGTAGAACCAGAGGATACTCAAGAATCTGAATATGGTGAATTAAATGGCTCTATAATTATTTTAAGCGATGACGAAGACGAATTACCAGTACCTTTATCAATACCTCTATCAGCATCATCTCATGCAAAAGAACTCATTAATTGTCTAAATGAATCACGCTACTGTATACCAAAGCGCTGTTCATCTACTTTGGCTTATTATGATGGCTATTTACCTGTTAACTTACCAGATCGCCGAAGCGTATCTGTTCCAAGGGAGATCAACTTAGCATGTGAAAAAAAACCAAAACCAATACTACCAGTCTCGGCTTATATCGATTTATTATCTGATAGTTCTGATGAGAATGATAGTGATTGTTCATCAGAAAATAAATTGCGACCTAATCTCAAACGTAAAAGAAGTCTGAATAATTTACTACACAATTTTGAGATAGAAAATACAAGAAAAACAATGAAACCTGGGCCTAAGTCTAAAACTAGAAATATTGCCACAGTTCATGAAATGATAACTGAAGCAAAACTGTTAGGATTAGGTCCATCAATGGAATCTGACACTTCTGATGATGATTCAGATATGTCAGATGAAGAAAGTGAATTATATATTATGGATACTATAGATCTTATGTCTGCAACTGATGATGAACCTGATGATGGTGATTTAAAACCTGAGGCCGATGATGATGGTAAGAAAGATTGTTTATCTGATGATGTAAAAGAAAATTCGATCAATGGTGAAAATAAAATGATTGATAACAAATTAAGTGCAACATTAGATGATGAGACCAATGGAAATGAAGTATTAGAAAAAGCAATTGATTCAAACATAATAAAAGAAGATGAAAATATGGAAAACAAAGAATTGAAAAGTATGGAAGTTCATCCAAATCAAATGACAGAAGATAAAAGTTGCAGTGATGAAATAGAAAAAAAAAATAACTTAAATGATACAAATGAACTATTAAAAGTTGGAGAATAAAAATTTTAATTATTTTCCAAATCAAACGTTATAAGATAAGAACGAGAATGTTTAAAGGTAATTATGTAAATAAAAATATTTTAAATCATTCCAAAGCAAGAATTAAACAAATTAATTAAATAATTTCCATTTTTTAATATCAATTAATGTAATGAAACCGTATAATGATCATCACAACTGAATTTGTAAATATTTTGTACATTTCCTAAAGTTAAAGGAATGGAAATGTGTGTAGTATAAATATAAATTGTATGTATTAATACTATATGACATAACAATTGTTATTATTTTTAATGTTATGATGTTATAAATATAATTGTATATATTAAAGTGTTGTTGTTTAACTATTATATTACTATTTTTAATTATTTTGTGCACGGAAAAAAGAATATAAAAAAATGTGTTAATCAGATTTTGGAATAATAAAAGTTTAAATTAGTATTTACTTTTGAAATTATGAAATTTTCCGATATCTAAATGACAAAATTATTAAACATAATTATTGTCTAATGGTTATTTTAAGAGTAAGACATAAACTCAAATAAGTAAGCAATATATGCAATTTTATACAATAAATATTTTCCAAGAAAAAATGAGGTCCATGGCTTAACAAATTGAAAATATTTGAAACCATCAATAAATAAATTTTTTATAATACATTATTTTAAATTTTTCATGTAGATTAATTGAATATATATTTTAATAATAAATTTAAGATAATTTAGTGTAAAAATGATTAATATACTTGCATAACCTGTATAATTAGTTGATCAATACTACTCTTGACCCTTTTTTCATTGTTTTTATAGTTGTAGTAAAAATAATAGATACTTAATCATACAATTAGAAAAAGTTTAGATTTATTTTGAACAAAGCTAAAGTGTTGAATATATATATTAATATATAAACTAAATTAGTAAAATTAAATATTAATAAAAATATCTAAATATATATTAAGTTATGAAACTAATATTCAATGAAACAACGATCGTTGAATCAATTAATGGTGAATTAAATAAATTACCTAATCACTTTATTTATAGTTAATCATTTTATTCATCTTTAAAATCATAGTGTATTTCATATCATGTAAAATGATTTTATATAAATACAACTTTATTGTAACACTAAAATTATTAATAAAAATTATTTTACAAAATTCTAAATAATAATAGTTTTATGAAGAAAAAAAATGTATTTGTCCATTCGTAATTCAATGTTGAAAATTTGATAAAAAAATATTTATTATACACCAAATCTGAAGGAAAAGTCAAAGAATTCAATGTAATTGTATACAATTTTTTACCTATTTGTTTTTTAAACATAAAAAATATTTTAATCAATCAATTTAGTTTTTTTTTAGACTAAATGAGAATTAATAGTAAGTAATACATAAAATCATAATATGTTAAAATTTATTTAAATATTTCTAAGTGAGATGAAGGTTGTAAATTACTAATAGCTAAACAATTTAAAGTACATATTTTAAATAATTTATGTATTAAATTACAGTATAAATTATTTGCAATTTTTTATGTAGAAGAATTTAATTTAACTTTGAATAGTAGAATTTTAGGTGAGCGACATAAATGAGTTAAGAGTTTCAGAAATGCTTTTAATATTATTAATTTTTATAACTTATTTGTTTAATTACTTATACCATATTCCAGCTTTTGTTAATTGTTGTAAAAAAATACATTTTCTATCATGTTATATTTTGTTGAAGTCTAAAATAATTTTGATAAAATGTATGACACTAGAGTAGATAACATTTTAATTTTTATATTTTAAATTAGCAACTTATAATTTGATTTTACCTTGGTAAATATGACAAGTGTAGTGTCCGAACATAATTTTTTGAAAGGGTCATTGATAAATTGGCTTAAACTACTGAATAATAATAAAGATTGCATTTTCATAAAATTTTTAACAAATATCGTAAAAATATAATTTATATTAATTATTTAAAAAAATTAAGAATTATCTTCACAAAGTGTATCAAAAACAATATTAATATTTTAATAATAGTTTTCATTCATAATATATAAATCTTAATCAATGCCATATTATACAAACTAAACTCAATATTTTTACGAATTAGGCATACAGTATTGGTCTTAGCCTTAATACAAATTTCATGTTATGTCTTTTTCTAAAAAGCAGTCTCCTATTCACCATAACTGTTCATTTAACGGCACCGCTCTTGACGTGTTTTACTTTTTTATAAAGATCTTGGAATTCATTATACTCCATCTTTGAACTTTGAGCATCACGTAAATGTCACAGTAGGTAAAGCTTTAAAAGTTTTAGGGTTTTTTAAGCGCAATATCAAACAGTTTTTGTCTGCTCGTTGTCTCTGCACACTATATTTCTCGTTAGTACGTTTAATATTGTAATATAGGGTGGTAGTACGGCAATCCTTACTTAGCTAAAGATGAATTAAGACTCAGACATGTTCAAAACAGGTTTCATTCCTACATTGCCCATATTATGAAGATAGTACACCCTACTTATGATTATTGCTTAATATACGTAGTATATTTGAAATACCACTACTATCATCATGTCGACAAGATGCTGATGAACACTTAACCTCTCTTTTAAGTGTCATTATAGATGCTCTTGAACTTCTCTTCAAAGTAAGTTTTTGCATCCCTTCCTTCCTCACCAGAAATCACTTCCTCTTTCAAGTTCCAACCCAAATTACATCCTATGGACAAAATTACCCACTACATAGAATGCTCCATAAAATAAATTATGTTAATTTTGATTTTTAATATTTAATAAATGTATTAGTTATAAGTTTGCTGTACTTTATCATCATATTACCATTATGTTTATATTAAGTTTTATTTTCCATGTATTCTGTATTACTATTACTATATGTTATAAATATTTACTACTTATATATCAAATTCCAAAATATGTAATCATAAAATTGCCAGTTGGCGTTTATAAATAAATACAAATACAAATATTCTTATTTATTTTTAATCAAAAAATTATTTGAATTTAAATTGAATTATACATTATAAAAATATTATTAGAATTTACCAGTTCACAAGTTTTTTATATCTCTAGATGGTCCCGTATAGTGCAATTGTAATTCTTCTCTAGCAAGTTTATAACGTTCAATATGTTGGTAATTGTTGAAATGCATTAGAATGGACGAAGAGTTAATAAACACCAATTGACATAGTGGACAATGAAGTTCTTCTAAACACCGTTTATTGGTATAATTGTTGAATTTCAAGCTAGAAGACAAAAATGGATGTAATATGTTATATTATTATAATATAATATATACTATTTTTATATTATAGATATACCATTCTTCTAATCTTTTGATTTTACTTAGTTTAAACAATAAGTCTTTACAGTCAATAGTAGACATTTTTTGTGATAAAAGAGCGCTCCAAATCAGTTTATAAACATCAGAACCATCCATCGGATGATTAATGGGGCTATTTTCTTGGTGTGGTGATTGCAATCTTGATTTTTTAATTTCTGACCATGTATAATTGTTTGTGTAAGGTTCTACCCCTTTAAACTTTGTAGGATGACTGAATAGCCTTCATTAAATAAATAAAGTTTAAAGATAAGTTTATAAAATAGAAACAAAACGAATAACTTTATAAATATTATATACATACTCTATTAAAGATGATTGTAAGTGATGCTGTATTTGAAAAATATCACCAGGACCTTCTTCGTCTTCTGGATTAACACATCTATTCAACAACATTCTCATAACATTTATCTAGTAGAGAATAAAAAAATTAAAAATAGCTACAAATTATTAAATAAAAAATACCATCATTAATTTACCTTGTTCAATAAATTCATATCAATAACAGTATCAAAGGTAATCTCAGCATCTTTTTCTTCAAATAATGGCATACCAGTTTCTGGGTGGTAACCTAAACCACAAATGGCTCCAATCATTTTAGTAAATGAAGAATTGTATCTAAGAACAAAGAGGAAAATGAGTATAGTATGTAAACTATATACTGTATTTGTTAACAATTATTTTAATTTTTAAAGGAGTGTACCTGATTTCCACGCACGGTGAAAAAATCAAAGAGATAATTGTCAGCATTCCAGGGATATTTGGCATCATAGTTGTATCCCAAAGTGTTAACTTATCATTTTCATTAACACACACGTTTCCAGCAACAAACAACCTAATAAAAAATATCAATTAATTTAAAAATAGTATAAATAATTATAGTAAACGATAAATGTATAATTTATTAGGAAGAAAGTATTATTCTTACCTTTCATGACTATCATTTGGATCAGTATCCAATAAAACAGAATTGACAGAATTCCATTGTATGTTTACTATTTTACAAGTACTATCACGACTTAATCCATAAACTGACATTTCTAGTGGACTTTTAGGTCCTTTTAAATTGAGCTACATTAAAAAAAATATACATATATATATGAATATTATGAATTATAACAATAGTAATAATAAACCAAAATAGATAATTATTTATTTCATTATTATTCAATTATCTTAAAATGCAATTTAATCACAAATAACAAAACCAAAATTTACAGTTTATAGCATACAAAAATTAGTCGAAAATTAGGTGCATTAACTCACTCAATAAATACTAAGGAAATTATTTTACATTTAATTATAGGTGATTAATTATTTACAAATTATATTAAAATAAATTATTTTTTAAACTTAATAAATCAACATTGAAAATATTTAATATCATATAATTAATTTAAAATGAATTGAAAAAAATTGTCAATGATTACAAATACAATGATATGAATATAATATAACTATTAAAACTCACAATTTTATACGACTCTTTTACTGTAGGACTTTTAGGGTTGAGACGTACGACATTCGATTTTTCATGTATCTTATTGTTAACACATCCTTTAAGCTTTAATCGTCTTTCATGATCTTTCTAAAAATAAAAATGTACAGTTATATTATAATGAACAAATAAGTTGTAAGTTTATAATATACTTCATTATTTTATTAAATAATTAAATTAATTATATTCAATAAATATACAATAAGTGGTAAATTAAAAAAAGATTGTAAATTTTAAAATCATACATTCAAAAATGTAAAATAAATGAGGTCATGTTTTCATCTTAAAATATTTGATAAAAAACAATATTGAATACATTATTAGTGTTGTTAACAAATTCACCGCTCTTATAGCTATAGTAACTAATAACTATAGTATAGTTATAAACTAATATTTTAACTATAATTAATGATTTATGATTTAACAAACTAGTATCGAGTTATTTCATTGATTTTCTAATTTTAGCTATAGGTAATGTCAATGAGAAAAAATATTTGAGGATTTAAAAACTTAATTGTGTTACAAATAATAGAAGTCACTTTTAACATTAATAAAAAGTGTAATAAATTATTTTTATATTTATAATCATTGTATTTTGTATTTTGTATTTTTTTTTGTTATTGACGATAAGATTAAAAATATTATTTTTAATTCAATAATTAATTTTAATTTCTACATAAAGCTCCACTGATGTTTAGTTATTTACAGATTATCATAAAAATGTCCACATATCAATTAAGGAACGTGATTTGTGTTTCACTAATATAACTGTTATTCTAACAGAATCAAAAATTTAATTTGTTTTAACTAGATCAATTTTTACTAATTTTTAAGCTGTATAAACAAATTTTTTAATTTTTGAAAAAAATAATTTGAAACATGTCATTTATTCAGTTAACATTTTCTTACTAATTACTATCAAAACTCATATTTAAATATAATGATTTATCATAAAAATACAAAACTTTTGAGACATATATAATTTATTTTTAGCAAAAATTAGTTTAATCTAATACAGTTGTTCACAATTGAATGAGAGGAGGAATTTAGATACTGCTCGAGAGAAATATAATGGAGGATGAAATCTTGGTGACTAGCGTTTTCACACTTTTACAAATAAAAAACAAACATAGTAATTGGTTGGATGTAGAAAATGATAAACGTTACATGTTATTAAAAATAACCCCACGAATTTTGGATTTGGGAAGAAAAAAAAAAATAATCTTTAATTTCTCATTAAATTTATTTGATTAATACTATTTATGAAATTGATATATTCAAAAATATGAAAATATTATTATAAACTATTAAGTTGATTTATATTTTATTTTTAAAATGAAAAAGGTAAATTAAAAGGTGCACTTGACTAGGCTTGCCATTTGTCCCGGTTTTAACAACATTTCCCGGTGTCCCGGTCGGTCATTAATTTTGTCCCAGTTAATGGAAGCCAAGCTAAAATAACTTTAACATTATATTATTTAATATCGAAACATGGAATAATATTGTACATAATATCATTACATAATTACATGATTATCGTATTATGTTATCTGTTTATTATTTCCATATAATTATACTAACATACTAAAAAAAAAAGGTTATTTTAATATGATGTCCCGGTTTGGAGATTTTAAAATCTGGCAAGCCTACACTTGACATCAGATTTATAGTAGAAAAACTTCCTAGGGATTTTATTTATTTCAAATTATCAATAATTTTATGATCTATGATAACCAATAATTTTTTGATTCAGTAAATATGTTAACATACATTATTTATTATTAATACCTTTGAAGCAAAAGACTCTTCAGTACGAATAGCTAAATTATTCTCAATAAGATACTCTGAAATCGAATTTTTTTCTTTTTCTTCATCTATGAAGGTTAGATCTTCAAATGACACAACACCATCAACTATAGAATATATCTTAAACATAAAAAAAAAAAATAATTTAAATTTAAAATATGAAACAGAAATCAAAAGCAAAAATATATTGGAATAAAAGCAACGTTTTTAAAATCTTAGACCACCTGTGTAGTAAAATGTAATAGTTATCCAATATTAAATATTAAACCTTTAAAACTGAGGTTCGTTCCCAAACTTCTGATATATATGGTATGATATATTTAAAAAAAATTTTAATTATTGATTACTATCTTTGAGATCATTTTTAATATAATAAAATCATAGTAATAACTCATTAGTATACTTGTAATTGTCACAAGTCAATAAAAATTAAGTTGAACATCTATATACTACAGTTATGCGAAAAACATTTTATCATATTTATCTGAATTTATACATAAAATATATTTTCTTATATATATATATGTTGTATTTTGTATTAATCTAATATTAAATATTTTATATCTTAAAAAAAATTCAAAAATCAATAGAACCAAGAATATAATCAAAATTCACAGTTTGGAAATATCTACTTAAAAATATATAATATTACTTTAAATTTTTATTAATATGTATTGGTATTTTATTTATAAATCAATTAAAAGACAAATTTCCTTTTAAAAAATACACAATACATCAAAATTAACTATGGATAAATTTTAATCAAACTTCTGATTTTCTAATATTATAATAATATAATATTGTATAATAATATTGTTAACATAATAAAAAACTACAAAAAAAAAATTAATAATAAAGTAGTATGTAAATATATTTTCATGAATAGTAACTTTAAAATACCCTATACAAGATGTAGAAAAAAATATTACACAGTGATAAGCGTAGTTAGAGTATGAATAACAACATATCACAATGAATGTATAGTTTCAAAATGTTAACACTAATTATTATTATCATAACTTATTAAATGAGTGATTTACTTTTATAAAAATGTAAATGATATGATCAAACTTACTGTTCCTTTTACACTTTTATCAATGAAAAACATTTTAGTTTCCTCAAACCAATCAGCATTCAATTGCCTATTTATTGATGAACGTATTTTTGCAAATTTGCATTGAAAAGCCAAAGTAGGGAAATTATAAACTGTATTTTTTGTATCATCATCTTTAATATTAAATATATTTTCAATACACAACTGAACAGATTCTCCATAATCAATCAATAAAAACTGAAAAAATATTTTTTTTAACCCATACATATATTATATTATACATAAGGTAAGAATAATACATTACTTTGTAATTTTTTTTAGGATCATGAAGAAACTCCATTAATTTGCCTCTATATTTTTCTTTTTGATACATCACAACATAAACATTGCCTATTACTAAATTTTTTGGATTAATTTCTATGAAACTTATTTCCTCATTAACAAACTTCCATAGTTTAATTAATATATTATTATGTTTTTCATCGTTAATCTGAGCCCAAAAACAATCAACAGATTCAAACTATAAAAAATAAAAAACACTAATTATATCTAGCCAAGTTTGTGTGTATCGGGTATATTACTATTATCTTTAACATTTTAAATTATAATAACTAAGATTTTATGCTAAAAAATTAAAAAATCTTTTTTTCAAAGATTTTTAATATATGGATTCATCTCTGTTTTTTGTTTCTCTTAACTCCTATTTCATAAATTATATTATTTTTGGATTGTAATCTCTAGCATTAAGCATAAAAAATTATGTAAATAAAATTAAATACACAATACAGATTTTATGTAAATATATATATTTTCCAAAATTAATTTTTTAGTTTTGCCAATTATTATGATAAAGTAATTTCAATTAATTTTTTTAATACAATTTGGAATAAGAAATATTTCTTAAAGTAGAAGAAAAAAATTACTTTTAGAACTATATAAGGCGAAAACAAACAAAAAAACCGAAGTTTGATACCAAAACATTTATTGATGCAACCAGAATCTAAAATACCGTTTTTTTGCCATTTGTTTAATTATGCAATTACTAAGTTATAAAAACTTAAGCTGAATCTATTTTAAACATGTTTTGATTATTTAAAGTCACTTACGCATGACACTCTTATGACAATAGCTCTATTATTAGATTTAATTTCTTCGAGTACACAGTGTTGAATTGGTAATACTTCCTTACGAGTTATTTCCTGTGCAGCCATTTGTTGGGTTATCAACTCCAATTTTTTTTTTTTGCATCATCAGGCCTATTATTAAATAACATTAATTAAATGAAAATTGATTCAAAATTTTCAATTTTTATTATTATAATTAGATGCAAATTCAAAATTATTTTTGATGTTTTAAATAATTACATATAGATTACAGATCAAATATTTGTAATAGCTAAGTTATATTATTATACAGCAGTGTTTTAAAAAAAATATATTAAACCCCTGGAAAAAATATTTTTCTAATTATTCTTCATTATGATATAGTTAAAATGTACAATGCACTTTGATGCTAAATATTGGCTAGATTTATAACATTTACAAATAATTAAATATCTTACACTATCAAGATTTTAAATACAAATAGAACAGTTTTTATTAACTCTTAACAATTTACTTACTTCATTAATGGTATTTTAAAATTAAATTTTAAAAAACGCATTTTAATAGCCACATAAACACCATAGCATATATTTCCTGGTACTAATTGATTTTCTTTTTCTTCATATTGATTATTATATGTTGTGTTCTTTGTGTTTGACGTTGGGAATTCTACATACACTTTACTAAAATAAATATTTAGTTTTAACAAATTATTTATATTTTAATAACATTCATGAACACTATTGGCATTTAAGTTAAATATTATCAATTATTATATTATTGAAACATGAAACAAAATTTTAATATACCTAGATAGAAATTTAAACATATCATAATTTTTATATGTAATCAAATTAAAGTGAATATCAGTTTTCTCACTTAGATGATGTATTAAAATACGCAGTAGGTTTGCCAACCAATCTTTCAGGAAATAGAGATTCAATAGCTTCTTTATATAACTCTTTAGGCTGATCATTTGGAAATCCAGTAAAATAAACTGTTCGATAAGGATCATGACCATTTAATGTTTTAAGTACTTCATGTTCATCCATATATGCATTATTTATTTTTCGTATGTAATAATTAGGATAAAATGCCCCAGCCAATACAACCTTAAATGGTTTATTTTTAATTTCCAATACATAAATAAATTATAACTTACTTGTTAGATAATAAAATGTATTTATTTATTTAAATTGTACCTTGCAAGCCAAAGCTTTTTCTTCAGATTTGATCCATTTCATTTTACCAAAATTTGTCAATATACCAAAATCTCTATTCAGTCTACCAGATACATCATTAATCAAGTCATATAATTCTCGCATTGCTGATAGCTGTATATAGTTTTTATAGGCCCACGTTTTTTCAAAATTTCGATTTTGATCAAATTTTGGCTTACTCTCTAGCCAACTCTAAACAAATATAATTATTAGCAAATTAAAACTTCAATCAATAAATGATACTGTAATGTAGGGTTAACAATATTTTTAATACTTGATATGCACCAATATATGCAATTGGATCACTACAAGAATAATTAGCCCAGGTTAACCTTTGTGTATATGCTTCTAAACGTCGATTAAAAGGCTGACTAAATATACTTTTTATTGATAAACCACATGCTGAAAAAAATATAACTTTAAATTAATTATCTTCTTTAAATTCATCTTATAAATTCTAATTTAGGTTTCATGTATTGTGCAATCACCAAGTATAATCTAACCATGTATATTAAGAAGTTAGAAACTTGTAATTTAAATATATTATAGTGTTTTCATTAGATAAACTCATGTTAAGTATTGTTAAGTATGGAATCTAATAAATTAATAAACTGAATTATTTGACTCTGGTTTATTCTAATAAATATTATTATAAATACATTTACATATTGATTGGTATACTTGGTTTTAAAATCTGACAAATAGATAGCAATATTAGTATTATTTATTGTAGGTATATAATATATACTATATATTTTATATTATGATTTTTTTTAAATTACTTTTAAAAAAAGTCACTTTATAAAAGTGTTAAGTACTGAAATCAATAAGAACATAAAATTACATTGATTTTATTTACCCATTATGATAGCTTCATTAGTAATATTAAAAATATATCCAAAATAAATTAATTTTGACATTGGTGGCTCTAATGGTAAATGTGCAATTACTTTTCCCATATATGTTAAATCACCATCCACTGAAGAAATTACTCCATTTACGGTCGATAATAGCGCTCCCACCTAAGAAAAATTAGCTTATAATAAAATCAACACATTTTTATTAAATTAATTATAACCTAAAATGCCATTAATAAATTACTTTAATGGCCTAATATTTTAAGTACATTAGTTATCAGTAGGGATGAGAAGTTATAGGAGCTAAAATAGACAAAATATGCAAGGAAAAATTATGATATATGCATAAAAAATTTAAAAATATATTATAATATACAATTTTTTCCATAAATAAAAACAGGTTTAAAATAAATTAATATAAATAATATTCCATTAAATTTGTTTCTATTAAAATATAAATAATTTTTAACTGAGTAATAAAATAATTAATATAAAAATAAATATATAATATAAAAATCAATATAAAAATGATTGGTAAGTGTATTAATTATATATTGATAGTCAGGTGATTTAATCTAAAAAAATAAAAATGCAATTTTATAAATTTATATATTGATTATTGCAGACTACGAACACATACAATTCTATAAAATAATAAATTTTTCATGTCAGTTGTATTAAATTCCACATAATTTTACTAAATATGCATTGTTATGCACAAAAAAAAAACATGAATATGCAACTTTTAAGAAAACTACCAATATATGCAAAAATATGCAAAATTTAAATACCAAATTTCGATTCATTAGGTTATAAAACAGATTTTTAGCTCACCTAGCTATAAATAGAAGATACAGAAAAAAATATGCAAATCCTATAACTTCTCATCCCTAGTTATCAGTGGTAACTTATCACATTAAGTATCCTTAAAAATCCAGAATTTTAAAATAATTCTAACCTATTGTAGTGTTGTTCTCCATCTTATAAACATAATATAACAAAAGCTATGTGTGTTCAGCAGCTCCATTTTGTGAAAATACTTTATTTTTTTTATTGATCTATTCGCTTCAACAAGAGTTATAACTTATAAGCATTAACATTTATATTTTTTTAATAAATTATATTTATTTTTTCTGAAATATATTACTAAATTTGTCTATATAGTTCTTATTATTATTTTAATTTTAAGATATATTATTTTCTATCTGAAGTTCTAGAAATTCGAAAAGGATTCTGATAGATTGCTTTATTTTCTTGTATTTTCTTATTTGAGACAGTTTGTTAAAATATATTTAATTGTAATTTGGGTTCCACATGTGGTATATACATTTAAAGGTCCTTTTTGGACATGGAAACTATAGGATAGCTTTGTATGACCTATTCTTAGTCTGTTTAAAATACAGATTCATCTTTTCAACTTGAGCAGTTTTTTTGCCACTTTTTGGTTATTCTTCTGCAAATACTCTAAATAATAGAAAAAAATTGACCTATAACCTTAAAGACTTGAACAAAATCAGAATTTTCTAATGATATTTTTTAAGGATATTTCTTAAGCAATTTATGGATAAATAAGATATTACAATTTTATAATTTTCATAACAGGCAAAGAAATTAAAAAAAAAAAAACATAATGATACAAATAATGTTCTTACCTTTAATTTTAATAATAAAATTGGTCAATTTACAATTCAATAAATAACTAAAGGTTATAACACAAAATTAGAACTGATGTTCACTCAAAAAATTTACTAAATTATATGTTGTTAGATGTAAATAACACATAAAAGTTATTTCTCATAATATAATGCTATTGTTTGTTTATATTTAAATAAACAGTAAAATGCTAAAATTATCATAAATAATATTACCTGTTTAAGAGTGCGGATTGTGAGTGCAATATTTTTTAAGCATGGTGCATCTAACGCACTTGCAAGAAGTTGTTTGGGTGTTCCCATATTCAATATTTTAGACATTAATACAACGCGACTGAGAGAACAACGACTCATTTCTGGTAATTCATTATCTTCAAATTCCTAGATGATTTATAAGAATCAAAATAAAATATAAAATAAAAATAAAAGTTAAATAGAATAATTACATCAAACATCTTTTTAGGAATCAACCTATAAACATGACCATCAGCTACACGACCCACTCTTCCAGCTCTTTGATTACAATTACTTTTTGATGCCCAAGTCATAACTAACATGGAATAATTGGATTTCATTTGATTTTTTAATTGTTTAATCAAACAAAAGTCAATCACTAAAAATACAGTTACAAAAGTTTTTTATTCAACTAAATTTAGTGTTTAAATACTAATTAATAATATACATGAAAATAAGCTTTTAAGTGTTTAATTACATGGTAATAATTGTTTATAATTTAATTATTCATTTATATTTTATGGTTCAACTTAATATATATTAATATGAGATAATATGCAATATATATAAATTTAAGTTAAGTATATAGAAAACATTAAAAAAATGTTTGTATTTCAAGTTTTATTTTTTCAATAATCATACATTAGAATATTTTTTATATTTTAAATGTACTAAATTTTTAATTATTTTCATCAAAAAGTTACACACATAATAAGTTGATATAAAAATGAAATTTAAAAATCAAATAATTATTTTTTATAGCTAGAAATTGAAATTTAATCAGATAAAAAAAAACAACAATTTTTAAAAGTAGATTGAGGAGATGATTTATGTGCAAAATAATATAATAGCCAACATATTGGCAAATTATTTCAAAGGAATTTTTTATGATAGAAGAGCAAAATTTTAAAACATTATTTTTTTTTTGGATTTTCATATCTCATCACTTTAACTATATAAAGAGATAAAAATCATAGGATGTTGGAGTATGTGAAATTATTTTTCCAGAAGTCATGTGCAATGTTAAGTTGACTACAAACTTGTTTTATAAAACACAAATACAGCATGCATGATTATTCAAAAATACATTAATAAAAAAGGCATGTATATAAATTAATTTAATAAAAATTAAATAAAGATCATAATAAAAATACTGAATATTAACATTTTATACTTTTGTTGCAAATGTAGATTGTTATTATCGGTAATCAAAAAAGAAGCTGAAAAATTAATCAAAATTTCCTAAACAATATCAATAAAAATAAAAAACTGAATAACTAAAATTCTTTAATACTTCAATTCAATAATTTAAAACTAATATTCTAATTATCCAACGCAGTATACAGAGTAAGAATAAACACTGCTTTTGAACAAAATAGTTTGATCAATATTATTAAATATTGTTTCTTTTCAGAATTTTGATAAAAAAAATTAAAACTGAACAATTTAATTAAATTTTGATTATTCTAAATCTAATTATTGATCGTTATTTAAATTTTGTATACTCAATATCTAAGAAATAAGCAAATTCTAATAGTTTTTTTTATTTTAACTATTTATGGACCATGCATTCTATGATCAATATGTATTTAATTTTATATTGTTTTCTTTAATTATTAAAATTATTAAAAACTATTTAACAGTTATTATTTTATATATTAGGTGTTTAAATACAAAAAAAAAAGTATCTTTATTTACCAAAATAAACATCTGGTACAGTTATAGAACTCTCAGCAACATTGGTGGACAAAATAATCTTGCGATAATTTAATGGTGCTTGTATAAAAACCTTGTCTTGTTCTTCACTCGTTATTAATGAATGTAATGGTATAAGAATCCACTTATGATTTCTGAAATTTACTTTATTAGTTTTACTAATCAAATAAATAATAAAATAAAATATTTTTACTCCGAAGTCATTAAATCCTCCAATGTCTATGCATTTCTTCAATTTCATAAATACCGGGTAAAAATATCAATACAGATTTTTTGTTGTCATTATCTACTTTTATTATATCAAATGTTTTAACTAATTGAACAGCTGTCTCATATCCAGCTTCATTTATTTCTGTTTTACTAAACTCCATTCTTCGGGCCTAAATTACAAAAGAAAATAATTTAAATAATATACATAAATCAAACCTCCAAGGCATAGATGGCTTTAAAGTATGACAAATTGCTAGAACAGAGAAACCCATTGTTTAAAAAAATGTATTACCATTAACTATTTTCCAAAATTTTAGATACACATATTTCAACAGTTTATATAACTTTTACTTTTATTGTTTTTTATTTCTTTCTTCTGCCTTTAAATAGCAACTTATACTAGGATTTAGGTTATACAAAAATGTAATAAATTTTGTAATTATTAATTCTTTTGATAATCTGTTAATCATACTATATGATAATTTAATTATTTTAAGAGGTAATATATTTTTAAAAGTATTCGTATTAGTTTATTCTTGAACTAATTATATTCTATAAATGGATTAGATAAATCAATAATAGGATTGCTATTAAGGTATTAATTTAGGCTTGAAAACTAAATAAAAAAAATAAAGCAAAAAAATTGTTCTGCTACTTAGTACATATTGAATGTAACATTCCAGTAAGTGAATGTATTGGGAGTGTTTTGAATTTGAATTCAATAATAAATTAATGAACATTAAAAACAACATTGATTAAAGACAGTCAGTCTACCTAAATTACACAGTATATTTAATTATATATTACTACGGCTCGAATGTTTATGAAAATGCATATCTTTTTCTATTTATTCAATTTAATGCTAACCTAAATAAAAACTTAATTCATGTTATACTGAATCAAATAATACTATTTTTATTTTGCATATTTTTGTATATTTTATGGTTTCATATTTTAATTGCGTATTTTGGGATTTAAAAATAAAAAAGCATATTTCAGAACATTTTTTTTTTTTTAAAACAACTTAATTAACAAACTATACAATTAATTTCACAATTTATATGCATAAATTTTATAGGTGGTAACTACAGTCTATAATCACCAAGTATTGACGTAAAATATAAATGTTTATTATCGACTTATCGTGTTTGTTTGGAATTACAGTACTTTATTGGACAAGGTCAAAGATAACATCAGTTAATGTAGAACAAAGCTTTTCACATTACAAAAATTTACTTAATGATAATAGACGCAGTTACAAATTTGAACAAATTAAAAAAACTATAGTAGCACAGTATAAAGCTAAAAATGGTAATCTCTAATTAATAAATAATAATGTAAATTTAAGTAAATAAAACGCTATGTAAATTTAAAAAATTTAAATAAATAATAAAAAATGTTAAGCATATTTTGGTATTTTTATTGGTTAAAAATGCATATTTTATAATTTTTAGCACATATTTTGTAATTTTTTAGTACATAAATGCATGCATATTACAGTAGTTTTAAGTGCATAAACATCCAAGCCCTATACATTACTAACTATATTAGTAATTTAATTTATTATTGTTAATACAGCAGAATAAACTAATTTATATCAAAATATATTATGTAATAATTAATAATTATTATAAAAATATTTCATATAATACTACTTGCCATACTTATGAATCACAAGAGTGTGAATAGATTTGTGGTATAAATAGTTAATTGTAGAAATGATTTTGAATATTTAAATGTACTTAGTAAATAATAATTAATATTATGATAAAAGGTTTCAAATTTCTAAGACTTATTGTTTTTTGAATCAAAACAAATTAAGAATTTTCATATGTCAAAATCTGGTTATTGCAAAGATTAAGTCGTTTTTGTTTGGGGTTATTTTGAGAAATACCGAGAACTTTTTCGTTTAACTCCAAACAGTACTATTAGATTCATATTTTTACCAATAACTACCCTAGAAGTTGAAGACCAAAGTATTTTTTAAACTACTATAACAGATAAAAAGAAAAAAAAACAGAAAATACATATTAAAACATATTTAATGTTCTTAATCTAAAATAAAATTTTACTCATCAATTCCCAAAAAGAAAATTATGAAATAAATATTAAAAGAAACATATTGTACATATTATATAATCATCATTTATATAAAAAATATAATTTACATCAAATCAAATTATATTTTATAAAAGTAATAATAAATTAAAAAATTTAATAATTATTTCATAACTAATAATTTGTAGTTTAATTATAGGTATACTGTTATACATATTTATACTTACAGAAGGTATCATTCCAAATAAATCATTCAAATATGCTACATGAATAGTATAGTTGGATGCCTTGTCGATTTTAACTAATGGTGCTGGATGGTATCTTTGATAAGGATACCCATAATAATCACCAAAATAATCTCTTAATTTTACAGTCTCTGCTGTAGCAGACATTAGTATTACCTACATAATTATTAGCATGTATCAATTATAAAATAAACAATTAAATATTTAAGTTAATAATAGCAGTCCACAATAATTTTATATAATAATAAATGAATGACATAATCATGAGATTTATCATTTCATTAGATTAAATAAATTCATTATTTTGGGCCATTTGTACATAGTTTAAAAATACTTACATGAGTCGACTGGGAGTTGTAATTTTGTAACTTCTTTATAATTAATAATAAAAAGTCCATTTCAAGTGTTCTTTCATGAACTTCATCTAAGATAATGTAAGAAAATTGAGAAAGGGATTTTGCTTTAATAATTTTTAATAACAAAATTCCTGTAGTGCAATATAAAATTTTTGTTGTTTTGTTATAATTTTTTTTTTGTCCAACTTGATAACCAACTAAAAGTCCATCTTTCCAACCGCGTTCTATATTCACTTGTTTAGATACTGAAATTGCAGCTATACGTCTAGGTTGAACAACAACAATATTACAATATTTTTTTTTACTCATACAGTCATCTAAAATAAACTGAGGAACTTGAGTACTTTTCCCACATCCTGTAGCACCAGTTATTAAAATTGTACAGTTTGAATTGATGGTACTAATAATCTAAAAAAAATAAAAGTTATACTTTTTATGATAATTTTTATTTTTATACAAACTATTAACAAAAAATTACATAAGTAATAAGAAAATATGAAGATGATAAATAAAATTTTTTTATTCAAATAATTTTATGAGAAGAGAGGCCAACTAATGATAGAACTCAATATGATTTTTTTTTTTTGCACTTTTTTAAGTAGTAAGTCTTTATACCATTAAACAGCATATTAGACTGCAAGGGAGAAATTTACATGAGAAAAAAAAAGTTACAAGATTTCAACTTGATGATAATTTGTAGTGGAACCTGGAGTAGCATATGGAGACTAGTTACTGTACTGTTTCAATTTATAAGTCGTTTGGAATATCATTGAATATGTACCAAAGAGTAGAAGATTTGTGAAGGTTTGGTATAATCTCACATGGGTCTTAAGAGTGAGTTGCATACAATTTTTTTTTGTGTGTATAAACATCTTTGAATTAAGGATTGGTCAAAAGAAATGTAGTCATCAATTTAGTTTTTTTCTTTCATTTTTTAATAGAGGACCCCACCCAAGTTAGCTTCTTATCAAGAATAATACCTAGATATTTTAAATCTGAGGAAAAATGAATAGGAACAGATTTCTTGGGAATAATTTTTATATTTTATTTAGATGATCAGTTTTTATTTTGGTTTAAGTGATTTAGTAATGCATCAAAGATTTGAATTATGTCATTTTCAAGAGAAAGAATTATTGTAGCATTGGTATATGTGGCCATAGACATATTTATTGTACTTTGCATATTGACAGTATAAATTTTGAATAGGTCTGGAAATAAATTGCTATCTTGTGGTATTCCTACTTGTAAACAAAAGTAAGAAAATTAAACATTTTAGAGATAATATTTAATTAGTAGGAAATAGTAGAGGCAGGAAAGAATTATTTGATTTAGTAAAGCAAATCTTTGCGCTATACACAATACATGATTATAATATATCTAAAAATGAAATAAACTGAATAATATTGTTTCTTTTCAAACAATAAAAATATTAGATCAGTTAACCTTTGTATTTAATAAACTGTAGTACCTGGCCCAATTAAAATACTGAATGTCAAATAATATAAAAATTATTTAAGGAATCAATATTTTGGTTATTAGCTGGTGAATACATTTTTAACATTAAATTATATTTACCTATTTATTTATAATAGTTATAAAACTACATTAATAAGTCTTAACAATTTATAACTAAATTACCTTTTCTTTAGACTCAGCAATTTCTAAATCATTTGATTTATGAGAAAGATCTTTAAATGTATAATGTTCAAAAAGTTTAATTTCATCTACAACTAAATCTTTTAGGTCAGTCACTGAATTTGCACAAGTAATACTATCAACAGAATTCATGTTTGAATTACGTAAAGCTTTTTTTTGATAACTAAAAATAAAATAAAATTGCATTACTATAAAATTAAACAAATTAAATAACATACATAAAAAATATATTAAAACACAAAATTAAAATTAATTTCATATTTATCAAATTTATATAGGGTATATTATTGAATAATTAACTAATAAGTAATAGTACTTCATTATATTCTTCATTGTTTTCGTTATTTTCGTCCAATTCAGTATTAACATAACTTCTACCTTGCTCATTATGGTCAAAATAACTATGACTTGACTGTGGTAGGTCTGAATTATATTCATGTTTTGAATAAGTACTGTGTAAATCAAGTCCTGGCAAATTAATTTTTTTCATATTCCCTTCAGCAAATTGTTCCCCCCGTGGACATGATGATATCTATTTATTCTAAATAAAAAAAATATGTATAAAAATATTAAATATTTAGTATGTAGAAAAAATAATACATGAAATATATTACAGTACAACTTTACAATGAAATCATTTACAAAATATATTTTTTCATATCAAATAATATTATGGTAGCAGTGTCGTATTCTATCTACACAATAAATACTTGTATTATATATTATCTATACAATTGAAATACTATTTATCTAAATTTTACAAAGTTAGATCCAGGGATTTTCAACGATTAATTCTGTTTGTAAATTAATTGTGAGCGTCAGTCATTTGTTTTTTTTTTAATGAGTTCAATTGGTGATACAGACATATTATTTATATTAATGAAATTTTTGTGAATTATTATGTGAAATATGGTATAAAATTGCATGGTGCCATGGTGCCAATAAAACACTATATTTCTTCAAATACAAAAATTTATAAATTTATATTGAAAACATTTAAATATTTTTTGTATCTTACACTATATGGATCGCGAGGCGCACGAGCCCATGGCGGGAACCACTGTTTGGCCACCCCTATACTAGTATAAGGTCTATGGTCAAATCACTCTAATATCAAAACTAAAAGCACACTATTGAAACTGGTGAACGAAAATGTATGTCGTACTTTGTTTGTAGAAATTACTAATAGTTTGGCAACATTAGTTAATAAAATTATTCATAATATTGTAAAATTTTCAAATGATTAAGTTAAATAACCATCAATATAAATATAAAATAACTCACCCAAATAACAATAAAAGGCTTTACAAACGCCTCAAGTAGACGTACATGTAGGTATCACTCTGCTTTACATAAATTAAGAATATGAATTAAAAATATACAAATTAAAAGACAAACATTAAAAAAAATATTATGTAAAGTAATTATTATGGATATGAAATAAAAAATTAAAATATCCGTCGGTGGTAATAAGAAAAATTACTAGTCTTTTAACCTCCGAACCAGCTCAATGACTAATACTATATAATGGTGAATTGGAGTAGTCGAATGGTGGATGTTAATGCGTCAGGCACTTTTCCCGAATTCATGAAAAAAAAAATAATTTTTCAAGCGACCTGAATTCGTAGACGGTTTTCCATTAGAATTCATGGATGAAAATCATATTTTAACAGTTGGATTAAAATAACGATTCATGGGTCCTGTTCCTGTACCCCTGTGAAACCACAGACTTCTAAATAATACTGGATAAGGTACTTCATGTAATAACAATAGAAAACTACGAAGCCAGAATTGATGCAGCTGATTAAGCAACCGTCAAGTTTTTGGTTGGCAATACTGGCAATACATTACATTTGTTATACAGACATAGGCGTGCGTACAGGCCACAGGGTATGCACGGTGTACCCAGTCACGCCCTGTGAATTTCATGGGCTGGAGTGTCCAATGTCTCAATCAAATTTCTCATGTATTAATAATAATTGTAATAAATATACCTTATTCACCAAATTTTAGATTATAGTTTTATAAAGTAAAAATGAAAATATGATAATTTATTGTGGTACACTTTATTATTAAAAGTCTGTATGTACGTAGTTTAACGTGTAGACGTGTAATGACTAGTATCATATATTAAAAATTATTATGAATTAATTTTAATTGTGTACTGAGAAACCAATTGTTCAATTTACAAAGTAAAACTTGTGATCATCTATTATCGATAATATAATTATTCATTTATTTTTTCTTTTTAATTGTATTTTAATTTGATTGTTAACCCGCCAAGACTACTCTCTCAGAAATGATGTACGGTAGTGTACTACTTGTATCATTCTATAATATGTATATTAAAAGCACATTAAACCTAAAAAAAAGTCTAATAGTATTAATATAGATGGCCAATTATAATATATGGGCGCTACTTTTAGAGTCTGTGCACGCCTATGTATACAGAATATATTACTATATTAGGAATAAGTCGGAATAACGTTTTAAATGGTAAATAAAATAATAATAATTCTAAGAAAATGCATGAAAAATAATTTGTATTTTTTAAAAAGAAACAAATACTTAACGTTAAAACATCAATTAAAAGGTACCAGTATATTATAATATATATTAACAATAAAAATAAATATGTTTGTTCATTCACAAGTTTTAATTATAAATTATTAATTTTAAAAAATGTGCACTGCTTAAAGTACATCAAATAGCTTAATATATATTTATTTTGTGCCATAAATTCAAATAAATGATGATATTATTGATTATTAAATAAAAATAACTTAGTTAACAGACGGAGTTTATAAACAACAATGGAATTTTTTGTCTTAGCAACAAAATGCAAACGAATTTACAAATATTCTTTACATATGATGAATTAAATTTGGCACCAAATTAATTTATAACTAGCGCTGGGAGTTGTATGTAATAATAACCAAAAATAAATATAAATATATATATAATTTAAATAGCAAAAATATGTAATATAAAATAAAAAATATGTAATAAGAAAAATTAAAATACAATTCTGTATAATTTTTGAATTACCTATAAAATTTATTGTTTTTAATTTTTAATCAATTTAATTTAAAAAATATAATATGTGGTTAAAAATAAAACTTATGTTAAAAAAAATTTAAAAATATAGTGTTAAATTAAAATACAATACATTTTTAATCAATTTAAAATGAAACAATGACAAACCATATTATAATGTTTTACATTTTCAAAATTAAAAATACGGTGATTTGGTCTTAAAACTGAAACACTCACTAAAAGTAAAAGAGGTTCACAAATATTTTGACAAGCCACGCAAATGCAAGTACTGACATTGTTGTAAATTCGTAAATATATTTTGTCAA